ATTCCCGCTATGGAGGAAGTGAGTTTTAAAAATACGTTGCCAATTGTATGCCCGGAAACTAAATACAAATATTCAAAACAAAATTGTAGATATTTTCCGTAAACAATTGATGTGTGTTTACTTATTGCGAAAGTCCCAATTTAGATTAGGCGAGTTTACTTGCGGCAAGTCTTTTACTGTAGGAGACAGGGGCAAGGGGAATAGAAATGGAAAAAAATTGCTCGTACCGGCAATTTTCTGGCAATTCGTTTTGTGTATTTTCGAAACCGAATTGCCTTGTATAGAGGCATGAAACTCGGCATGAAAACTAATCTAAATCAGGACAAATTTGTATAATAATAATTGTATACGTAGATTTTTTCATAGAGTCAATTCTGCCCAAAAGGAAATTAAAAAAAATTATTGCTTTTATTGGAACTCCTAACTACCTCGTTCTAATTCCACATCTTGTTTGCAACGTGTACTAAATATGGTACTAAAGTCATAGATTGTGCTATTTTATAGTAACGATGAGAATGAATTTTCTCTCCTCATTACATGAACATACACACACACATGGGTATATATGCTCACAAACTACGAGGGTGTGTATAGGTTTGACATTTGTTCGCATCTCTCTTAAAAGCTAAGGTAATCGGTTTTACGGTTCTGCTGTATAACTGAAAGCAGGACAAAACGAAATTCGTGTTCACACAGATGGGCAGTCGTGTTTCGTTGCTCGTGCCTGTCGCTGTGCCATAATAAACTTCGAGGATACGTCCACGTTGAATAATTATTTCTGTGAATATTTTTTTAATATTAAGTAAATTGAAAATATTATATTCTTGTACAGATTGTGTTTATTGCCTCCAGTGAAATGTATTTATTACTATTCCTAGAATACGTATGAGTAATATATATGTGTGCGTGTTTTTTAATATCACTCATACGCACCAGTATTGGAAATCTATGTTTTCATAGTCATAATTGAAATAAAGAATACACAAATAATATAAAAAATATGATAATCTTAAAAGATGAATCCCGAATCAATAAGACAAAATTGTGAAATCATGACATGTTTTAAGTCTGCTTTCATTCGTCTAAAGTGAAAGTGCAAAATAAAAAAATAAAAGAAAAAATGCAAAAAGAAGTGCTGAGCAAAGCACAGCTTGTCTTAAGAAAATCAATGCCTTATTTTTCACGTGATATAAACCTTGTTCCTCGTGTGCCTATTTGTTTTCTTGTGCTGTCCCCAGAACACTCACTGGTCCGTATGTATTTCCGTCGATTTGCATTGCTGTGTTACACATTTAAGGTCCTAAAACTTACTTCATATTCATGAATCAATGAATGTACAGAGTGTTGTGTTGTCAGTCAGTGTGTCATAGCCTTGAATGTGGATATATGTGCAACAAATAAATTAAATTAACCAGCTGCTAACAACATATGAGGAATTTATTATTAGCTACCGATTACACCCGACAGCCACGAAACACATAACCCCCAGCGGACAGCCAGATTCAGTAGCGAAAATATCTGCATCAATAATGATTGATAATGATAACTCATCTCAACTGAACCACGAAACACTGATTATTCCTAGCCGAAACTCGTCGTTTTTGTGTGCAGGTATACGAACGGACTCATTCACAAACGTCACACACACACACACAGACATATATGCATAATGTATTTTCTGTAGTGTGTGTTTGTGTGTGCCGTGTCATAAGAGTGAAATTAGTAACACTCAATTTCTGTTGAAAAAAAAAACGTCTCAAATATTCATTCTCACTGCTGTTATTTACCTTTCCAAAGAAAAAAAAAAGAACGAAAATAAAACACGAAAGAGATACCATGTTAATGATTTGTTTTCGCATTCGAACCTAAATAACTCCGTGTTTCATAAATACCAACGATAATTTTTACTACAACGAAGTCGTCCACCAGAAACTCATTTAGCAAAATCTGAGAGCTGCAGCACGCAACACAAAGGATATGGTTGGGACAGTGTCACAATTATTAGGTCCCCTTGCAGGGTCAAGGTTGTGCCGAATCGTTTAGAAAATATAAATTTAAAACACTGAGCAATGCTCATGTCACTTCCCATTCAAGAAGCCTGAGAATCTGTGAAAAGTGAAACGAAAATAAAAACCTTCATATCACCGTCATTATTCAACCTTTCTTTCCTATTCGTATTCTATACACATGTGTGAGTGTATGCGCGTGTGTGTATGTGAGTGTGGGTGTAATTTTTGTAATATTTTTTGCTTTCGCTTCGTTCAGCTGCACACATGTTTTCTTCTCACACTTGGATGGATTTCTTGGCAAAATAGCAATCATTTGAAATGTTAATGGCGAACCAGCTGCCGACCAGCCGACGGAAATACTTTTGTTGTATGTTGTAGTAGCAATCAACTCATATAATATATGTATGTGTACGTTTTCAAGTACGGCCATAGTATGTACCATGCTCTACATGGCTGGTTGTGTGTATGTGTGGGTATCTGAGCCATTTTAAACCGTCCATTTCAACAGGGTTTTCGAATGTTCCGATTGATCATATTGTTGAATATTTCAACCACAAACAAAAATATTCGATGAACAGTTTATTATGTGATATATAAGTATAGTCTGGGTTTATACATGCAACGTTTTTAAGAAGCTCTGCTGCAGCTCTCTACAATTCCTTATTGAATTTCTTCCCCATTGTCACTTTTTATACTTCTCACTTCTAAGAACTCAGCAGAGTTGCTTACAAAAGATGCATGTATAAACCCAGACATATCAATTTATTCTTTTACAAAATATGTTTCAAATAAAAAGTCGACGAACATGAAATTATTATCACTGTGTTATGTATTGCCGATATAATAAATGGATGTCGAAGTGTTATTCTGATCGTGACAATAAAACCTTTGTTGGGGGCTCAATTAATACGACGATTGTCTCGGACTTGCCGAGTCGATTGTCGATTTAATTGTAATGGCCCGTGCATAGATCTTTCAAGCGGGCATGGAATAGTTTCACCGCTCCACAATTTTGTAGTGCATGCATGAATGTGCATAAACCTACTTACTACAAACGTTTCCTAATATTTTCTGAATGCCTTCTCCATTGTACCTCTTACATCTCATATCTGCGGTAAAATCAGTTTGTAGTTTGTATGTGAGCACACTTACAACGGGCAGAAAGAACTAGGCTTACAAATCTGATGTTGCCAGGATGCTTGCGTAGGCAAAAATTGTGTACATATTTGCCACGGAGGGTCTCTTTCATTTACATTTTGTTTACGTCGGTCTCTCCTTCCCTGACGGTTCGTCCTGTGTTTTTAAGCAGAATAATTAAAATCTATCCATTGTTTACCCTTTAAAGAGAGCCTTCATACAAGTGTCGGTATAATTGAGTTTCAGAAGTAGTTTACGGTTGTAAGATTAGAAAAGTACATTTGACATGTCCCAATAGAATAAACAAAAATACAAGCACGTATATGACAAATATCTAAAGTGGAAAACAAGAGGCCACATTCATAATTTATATCGTGTGTGCTGTTACATACATACGCGCACACAGGCGAACGTACCCCCGCTTTATTTGGGCTTATGCTGTCCGTGTGCGATACGTAAAACTATGGCCGAGATTTTTATTGTCGAAATTTACAATTTAAGCTATGATGTCCACCCAGATGTAGACTTTGTAGACATTTTTTGTGTAGCGTTTGCTAACGTACAACTCTTCAATTGCTGTGTGTGTGTTTGACAAAAACCTGCAGACATACAGTGATGTAGCAATGAATGCTATAAAGTCTGCGAAACGTAAATGGAGTAAATACCATTGCGCCACATTCTATTGCACATATTTTAAATATTCCATTCGAAAGGAGGCAAACGCCTTTGCATGCATCGTATTGAAGCATTTACTAAATATTTTTCGAGTAGTCCATACTTATTTTACAAAATTTGAGAAAAAAATAGATTGTTTCGGAACTTTAAAGCTTCAAATCTTTGCAATATTGTTCCATTATTCACCAATTACCATATATATATATCCGAATTAAATCTTTTTCAGCCTGTATGTATGTATTTCTTATCAGATGAAGTATACTATATACATAACTAGTTTGTAAGACTATGCACTTGTTTCTTTGACGATGACGCAATATTTTTACATATATACCAAATACCTAACCACATACCTAGAATCTGCTTCCGATTAAAATGAAGGCGACCTATAGGGCAATCGCATAGCAGACGTCTCGATGCACTCTAAAACACCTATCAATATAACGGACTTGGTCGTCGGTCTTCATTAAGGTAATTGACAGGACAAAATCCGCAGTGGTACTGGCCCACTACATTTGTAGATACATATCTAGACGAGTATGAGAATTTAGATAGATAACTCAACTGCCAGTCGTCATTACTACTGTCTTAAGACCCATGGCGGAATTGTACGCTTTAAAATTCGTGTAGCGACCATTTGTTTATTCATTTCACTCAGATATTCCATCCACTGTAGAATAGATTAAGCTAGATTAGAATAGATAGTAGAAAGGACATTCCGATATTCGATAAAATATGTATATATGTACAGACGGACAATGTAAGTGCAACCTTGTGCGCCGCAGCCTCTGACTATTGTTCCAATCACGCCAACAAAAAAACTAAAACGTATTCATCAATTCGGAATCCAAACCTGTACTTAGTTGGACTTACATATATATGCTTCTAGATTTATATGCTGATCCATTCAAATAATAATATCTCTATCTATAACCATGTACGTAGTTAGCATAAATGATATGTAATTGTAGTCAACATGATCATGGAGTCCACAATTACAATGGAATATATCCGCATTTCGACATTAGATGTGGCGTAGATTCGGCGTCATTTTAGGTTTTAGGTATTCATTAAACAAAAATCTGACAGACAAGGTCGACTGTAGCGGGGGTTATTCTTGGAAGTGCAAGATCGGCCACAAAATCGCGTTCGTTTTATTCGATTCGATTCTTCGCATTCGTTTATTTTCCTTATCCTGTGTACTATAGCGAAATAAATAATCGGAGCGACGATCTGGTAAGCGGAACAGTTGGAGAGAAATGTATGCCGCTGCCGGTGGCGCCAGTTTGGCATCACGCCAGGCACGACAAAGGCAACGCCAGCAAAAGAAATCGCAGCAGCTGCAGGCAAAACTACATCCCCCTAAGGCACCTTGTCCATCGGTGGGCGAACATGGCGCTTCAACGCCAACGCGCCATTCTCGGCAATTCCACCAACTCCCGAACAACTATCTGCGAACACCGCAGGCGCAGGGGCGCAAACTTAGTGCTAGTTATACGGCGCAATCGAAGCTTTTACTGCCAATCGATGAGGGCGACACACAATCGGTTATGCATATGCGAATCCACTCGCACCCACATGCGCATGGACATAGCCATCATGCTCACAGCCACAGCCATCAGGAACACCAACATATGGTTCCATATACCGGTCATCATCACCATGGACGTGTATCGCCGAAGCTTGTACACCGTCATTCGGGCAGTAGCGGAACAAGCTTTCACCATTCCCATCTACCGAAATCGGCAACTGCCACTCTACCGCTTGTCTCACAAGTTGAAGCCACACCACCGACGTCGCCATCGGGCGTAGCCGCCGCCGGCAAGCCGGATGACGCGACAGCTCTCCCACCAACGACATGTCAGGAGGCAGGTATTCCTATGGCCTATCATGACAGTATTATTGTGACGCCGGCCACACCGATGGCGTCGCCCGGGCACGTGGCCAAACCACACGAAGAACTTCCCGATGCTGTTGCAGAAAAACAACCGCTTACCGCGGCCGCAGACTCTTGTGATGACGATGACCAAGCGCACCCACCCACCGGACCCCTAGAACGCAAATGCAGTGTCTACCGCATGAGGCGTAGCGACGCCTTTGAACATGACCCCCCGGTTGTCATTGGTGGTGTTCGGAGACAATTCAAAGAGCTTCAATTCAACCAACAGAACCAACACTACGAACCTCTGCTTACCGACGATCCGCACCTCGTATTCAAGGGCTTGCCGTCGACCACCGCCGGTCGTAAAATCCAAATTTGCGCCTACTGTGAGGAAGGTATATGCGTCTGTGAACACATTGAGGTAATTACCACCACCACCCAACAGAGCGAACCAAGGCCGGCCCTACATACTGCTACTACTACTACCACTGTCACTACTACTCCTACTACCATATTCTCTCTATGTTGTATCCTATCCATTTCAATACACACACACATAAACACGTACACACACGTTGACATGTTTTCTTGCTATTTGAACCGTTTTGAATCTGCCTATTTTTTAGTTTCTCATTTCTTAAGTGCCAATATAATTTCTTTTTAATACCCATGTGAATGTGTGTGTGTGGCCACATACACAGGGATAGTACACAAATCGACTAGAACCTCGACATACAACAAGGAACACACCTTTAAACGCACACATACACACAGCTGCACACACCTTTCGCGTATATTGTCATGAGTAGTGGTATACGATACGATTGCTAATGTGTGTGTGTATGTGTGGTTGTGTGCCTAAGTCATCTTTCACGATATCAAACGCTTACACTTCCGTCGACAATACCTTCCGACCGACCGACCCACCGACTTCGACTTCGACACCAAATTCGCCATATTCATTAGTTACAAATGTCTCCCATTTATGTTTCAACGTATTTTCTTATTTCTCAGTGTTGCATGTTTGTTGTGTCATAATGCCATTTCTTGTTTCTTGCATGCCATTCTTTTCTTTGTTACTTTTACTATGCTCTGAGTACCCCCATAACCCACAGCCGAGAACCCGTTGCCCCACGCCCCCCGGTCTTTGTTGTATGATGATAGTTCCTCCATGGGCTCTAAATAACTGCCAACAGCAATTACTACGATTCGTGTTTGGGATGACTGAAATAGTTGATGTGTGTGTGACACAAGGGTGGACACGAGGTGTTTGGGTTGGATAAGAAATGGGTGGTCCACTGTTTTTATTACAGTCGCAATGTCAATGCTAGCGGCGGCCACTAAAGCTTTTATCGCTACCCCCATCCCGCCACTCTTCGCTAGACCATTTGTTTATTTGTTTACTTTTTTCGTTTTTGCGATGTTTCGTGTCCTTTGTCGTTTCGTTGTTCTTGATGTTGCTTTTAATTAGCCTATATATAAATATAAATATATACATATAGCAGTGTGGATAAGTGTGTTGCCGGAAGCATGCACATTACATAGTTTAATAAGGGAAAATCGATGACAATAATTGCATGTCTGCACCAAGTAAATGGTTAGAATGTCATATAATGCTAAGTTGATGTAATCTGCAAACATAGGCCACATGTATGTATGTACGTACGTAATGTAAATTTAAATATAACATATATATATATACATGTTAGCAAACATATGCCAGACACTATTTAATCGCGTAACATTTGTAGGTAAGAGTTTTATACTTATTTCAATGACTTATCCAGAGATTGGGTGCAAATGTGTCAGGTTTAACTTTGAAATTTTTAAAGAATATATGAATTAAAAAAGATTGAACTTAATGAAGACAAACGTCTTCCAAATCTATGATCAAGACATCAAAAACAAACAAAAGAAATACACTCACAGACACTGGTTTAATTATAATTTTTAAGTACATGAAGGTTAACACCTGAATAGTCAAAAAAGCAAATGATTCATTCATAAATTGCTCGAACTACGGATTTACTTCTTCATATATGAAAATGATTTCCGTAATTTAATAAACTCAAATGGTAAGAAAAAAGAAACAAACACAGTAATGTTATAGTAGGAATGAATGAGCTTCTGCCTATTAATGACTAAAACTAAGGTTTATTCCATTTAATTATTTAAAAGAAAAACAAAATATAATTTTCTATTCTTCACCACACTGTGGTACCAGTGGGTCGATTCACTATCAAAATTAAGCAATTCTCAAATCGATAAAATATTATAACGACAAAATAAACAATATTTTAATTCTATAACAGTTTTTAACAACAATTGTTAAAAATGTTGTTAGTAAACAACACGAAAAAATTCAAAGTTAACTTATCGAAAAATATTCTTTAATATTGAACATGCCTTGTTTTGTTCAAAATTTGTATGTATTTTATTTTCAAAATGTTCCAAAATAAAAGCTTTTTGAAAGTTTATCGACAATTTGTCTACATTTTTACAGAATAACATTTTCGTTACTGCAAACGATTTTATGTGTAGACAAAATTGTCGATTGTCGGATCGTTATAAGTTACTGAATCGACCTACAGGTATTATGTCTCTACACAACTATGTTGTCAGAGTATTCAAGATTTGTTTGGCCCCAAGATTTTTAACGCCTCGAAATATTGTTGCTAGTATAATAACCAAAGTTGAATCGTATGGAGTAAATGTTTACTCCGGAAAGATGATTTGGTAAATAATCCTTTAAGAGGATGTAAATATCACGAAATATGGCCCAGACTATGATCGGTCGCGTAAGGCTATACTGCTCCTCTCAGAATCATTTTTTGAGTCGATTTATGTATGTCCATCCGTCTGTTGATATAAAATAATAAAGAAAGTATTGAAATTGTAGAACATCGGGTCAGACTTAAATATATCTCCCATATATATATATATGATTTTTTTGACTTGGTATGATTTTCACAATTAAAGATATTTTGTGGAATACAAACGGTTAGGTCATTTTGTTTTACTCTACAGCTTGTGTTTCAGTGTACACTTCGACTAACTCCACTTTTTGAAAAATCTTGAATTTAGTGTCCAAGGCCTTAATTAAGTAACGTCATCTTACATTTATAATATCCTTCCTGAATAATAAAAATATACATTCTACATTGCAAATTTGAATTCGTATTATAAATTTTGAAATGATTTTGGGCGTGAGATTTTTTATAGAATAACCTAATTATTAACATTATATCTGATCTTGTGTAAAAACTCGTTAAAATGAGATACTTTCATACGAGGTTGCAAAAGAGGCAAACCCTAGTGTTTATAAACCATACTGTCGTACATTTGCTTTCCAAACGTAAGAGAAATAGGATAGCCCCAGTTTGGGATGTATTTAGAATCTCCTTCTAAATCACATGTGTGTCTTTTTATTTATTTATATTTGTAACCAAAATTCATGTTACTTTTAGTATCTATCTGGTATCCTGGTTTATATACAATTTCGTTTGATTCCACTTAAATGGTGAGCCTAAGACGCTTTATCCGAACTATTAAAAAATGACCATATAACGCAAAGAATGAACATGTTTGGTTCAAATATAATTTCAATACACGAATCATATAACACCTCCTGGATGCATCCAAATTGGAGTGGACGATTCCACTCTTTTAATATTAGTTGACCTTATTCTGATGCACGTAACAATAAGCAACCGTTCGATTCATTTTCATTCTCTTGAAAATGTTTTATTTAAAATCTTCAGTAGTGTTGGTGGGTTATTTGGGATACCATCCCAGTTTGTTGTTTTTATAAAAAACAAATATTTATTAGTGGGGAATGTATGGCATTGTTCGCCGAGGGATAAGGCAGTGAAGACTATAGTTTCCGATCACGCCACTAATCCTCATCAGTTCCCTTAGTTTTTTGTTGGGATTTTCCCGACAGAAGCTATTTATTGCTTCTATACAAGAAAACCTTTCATACCCAAATGCCTCTTGTAACAAAGCGAAGTACTTAGCTGACCAACGAAATAAACTGCATGAGAATTTCGATGGTGCCTCACTTCGAGGTTAACAAGCATTTAAAATATTTATTTTGAAGGTTTTATATACATATTTACAACTTATTACGCCAGAAGATCATTTACTTTTGATCAAGAACCACCAATTCGACTTATTCCAAATGGCTTCTTTCTTTGTAAAAAATATTATTAAGATGGGTGATACACTAAAAAAGATGAAATAATTAACCTCTCACTTTTATTTTAGATGAACATTTGTTTTAATGTTTTCGGATAAAAAGACAAAAAAGATAAACTAAGTGAATACCGACGATAGTTGACATTAAATATGTGGCAAGTAAATGCCGTGTTTTCATAAAAAGTCGCCAATGTTCCAGGCGATATTTACATTATTTACTCCGTTTTACGCTAAAACTTAGACCTTGCACAAAAATCCGCAAACCAAAATCATGTTCCATCATACGCGAAAAATACTAACGAGACTTTTATTTCTATTTAGTGGCTATACAATTGAATTTGAAATTAAAAAAAATAAATTTGTTCTCCATATTATAACTGATATATTGATTATGTGAATACATTTTAAAATGGATTTGTATTGCTCTTAATTTGCTGAACGTCCAAGTGCAAGCCATGAGCTTGCCAATACGTTATTTAGTTTTTTTTTCTACATTCTCCAATCCTAAAGTTCCAGGACCTACTCCTTATAAAAAGTTTACCAACAAAACAATTTGTGATGCTAAGGCGACGGAATTTCCCAAAACCGTTTGCATTGTGCATTCATTGGCTGCCTTAAGAAGATGTTGTCTGCTGCAGGGAGAGAGTGGGATGAGAACATACAAGATTTTGTAATGTTATCATTGGTACTTATGAAATACACAACAGCATAACATTCTCTTGTACAAAACAAAGAAAACGAATGAATATATCAGAACTGAACATATGAATACTGTTTATTTGTTTGCCATAGGATCCAAACTGCACTGCACTGAAGGGGTGTACTACAGATCCATCCAGATCCACACCAGACAGCACATACTGTAAGAGAACGAACAAAAAACGAACGTTAAACCAAACGAAATAATACATCGAAGACACGTATAAATAATCTCCACTAAATATTACTCAAATAGTAAGGTAACCCGCGAGTGTGTGTTGCTCGACTTGGGAAGGGGCGCTCGATTACTAACACTTGAGAGATTTCTCACTTTCACATCGCTAACTGTGCTAAATGCCTCTTAACTATCAACGAAAAATTACAGCTAAGATGAAGTCCTACGGCAACAGCAGTCACGAGTTTGGTTCAGAACTTTAATATTTTCACATATCTGCAAAATGATAGCGACGCCCAAGTTGCAGAAGATCTACACCGATCGACATTGCTGTGACACATCATCGCCAG